CCACTTCCACACACCTGCACTCTTATCTCCAGTAGATCACATAGACCTTCCCCTCCAAACTTCACCCCCCTCACCTATTACACTGTACCAGCCCCCAACTGTAGGAGCCCATCCCTGGGAACCCACAGACTACTCTGACCAGGGAAGCAGGTAGGCTAACTAAAGATCTTCACTTCTCCTTTGTTCCTCCAAATCCAATCACCCAGTGTCATTCAGCAGACTATCCACTGAGGCTTCTCTAGCTCTCTGCCCTATTCCCAGGGGACTAAACAGATCCTGGCTGGGCATTCTGATTTCCCCACTCCTGTGGGCACCCTCATCCTCCCTTTCTAACTCATATCCATTCCTATGAGTCAGTTCCCAATATCTAGAAATTTATTTTATCTGGAACTCCCAATGGCCACAACTATCAGAATTCCAGAATTTCCTACCAGACAATAAACAACCTCCAAACTTTCCTAAGAACCAGAGAAGGCAACAGAAATCAAGGGACAAAACACACACCCAACAAATACAAACCCAGATATCAGCATCTAGAATAATAAACTTCCCAAATTCAAATACACAGACAATAATCTAAAAACACAATCAATAACAGCAAAGATAGTATGTTTTCACTGGAACCTAGAAACTGCCACAGCAAGTCCTGAGTGTTGCAACATACCTGAAACACACACACACAAAGACCTTAAAATAGCCTTGCTGAACATGATAGATGTCCTTTAAAGGATGAATAAATCCCTTAAAATCTATAAAAATACAAACAGTAGAAGAAAATTAATAAAACAGTTCAAGATCTGAAAGTGGAAACAGAAGCAATTTAAAAAAAACTCAAACTGAGAGAAATCTGGAAATGAGAAATCTAGAAACTAAACAGGAACCTCAAGGGAAAGCTTCAACAACAGAATACAACAAAAAGAGAAAATTTCAGGAATTGAAGATAGAAGAAATAGATACCTTGGTCAAAGAAAATGTTAAATTAAAATAAAAATTAAGAAAAATCAGGGACACTATGAAGAGACCAAATCTAAAACTAAATGATTAGATTAGGATTAGGAAACCAGACCAAGGGCACAGGAAATATTTTTAACAAAATCATTGTGGTGGTTTGAAAGAATGTGGCCCCCCCAAAGGGAGTAGCACTATTAAGGGGTGTGGCCTTGCTAAAGTAGGCATAGCCTTGTTGAAGAAGGTGGGGCCTTGTTGGAGGAAGTGTATCACTGTGGGGGTGGGCTTTGAGTCTCTTTTGCTCGAGCTTCACTCGGTGTGATGCTTAGTCTACTTTGTGTTACCTGCGTATCAACATGAAGCAGCTACCTCTTCAGCATCATATCTGCCCGCATGCCACCACGTACCACTCTGATGATAATGGACCGAACCGCTGAACTGTAAGCAAGCCACCACACCTAAATATTTTCCTTTGTAAGAGTTACCGTGGTTATGGTGTCTCTTCACAGCAACAGAAACCCTAATTAAGATGATTATAGAAGAAAATTTCTGTAAGTTAAAGGAGATGCCTATCAAGGTTCAAAAACATGCAGAACACCAATAGACTAGACCAGAAAAGAAAGTCCCCTCAGCACATAATAATCAAAACATATGCAACAAAAGTGAATTTTAAAAGCTACAAGGGGAAAAGAGCAAGTACCATATAAAGGCAGATCTATGAGAATAGCACTTGACTTCTCAATGGAGACTCTAAAAGTCAGAAGAATTAGGACAGCTGTTCTACAGAGTCTAAGAGACTACAGATGCCAGCCCAGACTATGCCCCCAGCAAAACATTCAATTATAATAGATGGAGAAAATAAGACACTGCAGGATAAAACCAAATTTAAGTAATATCTATCTACAAATCAAATCCTACAGAAGACCCCAGAAGAAAACTCCAATCTAAAGTAGTTAACCACACCCAAGAAAATGGGGGGAATAAATAATCCCAGACCCCACAAATCAAAAGAGAGGGAACAGACACACAAAGAAGAACAAAGGAAATCAATAATCATTGGTCATTGATGTCTCTCAGCATCAACAAATCAATTCCCCAATAAAAAGATTCAGATTAACAGAATGGATGTGAAAACAAGATCCAACTTTCTATTACATCTAATAAATACACCTTGAGATGAAAGGTAGACATCATTTCAGGGTAAAAGGATAAAAAAAAAGTACTCCAAGAAATGGACCTAAGAAGTAGCTGACATAGCCACTTTAATATTTGACAAAAGAGACTTCAAATTGAAACTAATCAGAAAAGTTTTTTTATAAAGAACATCATATACTCATCAAAGGGGGAAAAAAATCCACCAAGAGGACATTGAATATCTATGACCCAAACACAAGGACACCGAAGTTTTTTAAAAGAAACACTACTACACATGAAATCATAATTTAATCGCCACACACTGATACTGGGAGACTTCAATGTGTCACTCTTGCCAACAGACAGATAATTCAGATAAAATCTAAGCAGAGAAATGATGAATCTAAAAGATGTTACAAACCAAATGGACCCAACAGATATTTACAGAACATTTCACCCGAACACAAAAGAATATACCATCTTCTCTATGAACCGTGGAACTTTCTCCAAAACTGATCACATATCATACACAAAATGAGTCTCAACAGGTACAAGGAAATTGAAATAACAGGCTGCATCTGATCACCTTGGATTTAAACTGCCCTCTCACATCAATCACCAGTTATGAAAATGCCCTACAGACTTTCCTACAGCCCATCTTATAGAGGCACATTTTTTTTTCTTTTTTCTTTTTTGGATTTTCGAGACAGGGTTTCTCCATAGCTTTTGGTTCCTGTCCTGGAACTAGCTCTTGTAGACCAGGCTGGCCTCGAACTCACAGAGATACGCCTGCCTCTGCCTCCCGAGTGCTGGGATTAAAGGAATGTGCCACCACCGCCCGGCTCTAGAGGCATATTTTTAATTGAGATTTTCTCCTTCCAAATGACTTTAGCTTATGATAGGTTGACATAAAACTATCCAACACAGATAACATAAAATAGAAAATAAAAGAAAATTTCCAACTTCCTTTTACAAATTCAGTATTACCCTGAAACCAAAGATATATAGAAAGTATAGATCAATCTCTCTGATAAATACAGATGCTAAAAATTCAATATAATACTGGTAAAAACCAATTCAAAAACACTTTAAAAAGATTAGCCTCAATAAGCAAGTCAGCTTAATCTTAAAAATGCAGATACTGATCAATATACATAAATTAATTGACATATTATATTCCATAAACCATATATTAAGAGAAAAGACTGGATCTTTTCATTATATAAATAAAATGTCTCTTACAAAATCCTAAATCCTTTCATGATAAGAGTCCTGGAGAAAATAGATATAGAGGGAACATATCTCAATATAATAAAGAAAGACAACATACAGTAAGATCAGTCAACTTCTTTCTAAACAGAGAAAAATTTAAAACATTTTCAATAAAATCAGGAACAAAACAAGGTTTTCAACTCTCTCCATACTTACAATATAGTACCTAAACTCTTAGCCAGATGAATAACACACCTGAAGGAGATCAAGGGAACACAAATAGGAAGGGAAGAAATAAAAATAGCCTTCTTTGGTGATGATACGATTATGCATAAAATTCCCTAAAGCCTCCACTAGAAATTTTCTACTTCTGAGAAGTACTTTAGGGAAACTAGCAGAATACAAAACACAAAAAATTATTATTCTCCCTATATACAAACAAGAAACACACAAAAAAGAAATAAAAACAATACCATTCACAAGAACCTCAAAATAGTGAAATACTTTGGAATAAGTCTAATCAAGGAAGTTAAGGAGTTATACAATGAAAATTTTAAATCACAAAAAAGAAAGAGAAAGAGAGAGAGGAGGAAGAGGAAAGAAGGAACAAAAGAAGAAAGAAAAGATTGAAGCCTATACCAAAAGATGGAATGATCTCCCTTGCTCAGAAGTTATTAGGATTAATATTATTAAAATGGTGATCTTACTCAAAGCAATCTGTAGATTGGATATAATTTCTATAAAAATTTCAATGCATTTCACAGAAACTGAATTTTCAAATTTTATAAAGAAACACATACAAAACAAAAATACCAGAAACAATCCTGAACAACAAAACTGTTGGAATTATCACCATCCCAAATTTCAAGTTATATTGTAGAGATATTGTAATAAAACAACATGGCATGGATATAAAAAACAGATTATTCATCAATGAGATAGAATTGAGGATATGGATACAAATCCATTCACCTATGCACAATTTATTTTTTTAATAAAGATGCAAAACATACCCTCAGGAGAAAAGAAAGAATTTTCAAGAAATGGTGTTAATGAAAGTGAAAAGCAATATGTAGATCCTCATTTCTTACCCTGCACAAAACTCAACTCCAAATGAATTAAGAAGATCTAGACATAAGGGCTGATACCCTAAAACTGATAGGGAGGCAGTAGGAAGCATAATGGAGCTCACTGGCTTGGAAAGGACCTTCTGGATTATATCTATTGTTCAGGCATTCAGATCAACAATTAATAGAACTTCATGAAACTAAAATATTTCTTTACAATAGAAGAAGCAGTCTACAGAACCAGAAAAAAATCTTTACAGATACACATCTGACAGAATGTGGAGATTTTGAATATATAAGGTGTTCAAAAAATTAAACATCAAGAAAACGAACAATTGGATTTAAAAATGAGGCAAGGAACTAGTTTACAAAAGATTCTATACAAATAGCTGAGAAACATTTCTTATAATGATCAGCAGCTTTAGTAATTAGAGAAATTTAGATTAAAACTGCCTTGATATTTCATCTTACCTAAGTCAAAATGAATAAGATTTTAAAAGAAAAGAAAAAAATGATGATGAGGAATGCTGGAAAGGGGGAAAAACAGATTCATTGTTGTCGGAGTACAAAATTCAGCCACCTTAAAAATCAGTGTGGAGTTTCCTCAAAATTGAAAATTGATGGCACTGGTTAGTTTTCTGTCATCATGACCCAAGTTGGAGTCATCGTGGAAGAGGAACCTCAACCAAAACATGCCTCTGTTTTGATTGTTGTTTTCTCTGGTGTTTGTTTTTTTGAGAGAAAGACAGAGTCAGAGAGATGGGTACAATGGTGGTTGGGGGAAAATGGAGTTGGGTGGGAAAGGAGGTAGGGAGAATCTTGGAGGAATTGGGGAAGGAAAAGAATATGATCAAAATATATTGTACAGAAATTTTTTTAACTGTTATGTAAATTAACCCATTTATTTAGTTGGCTGTGCGCTATTGAGTGGGCTTGGGTATCAAATGGTAGCACTTTCACTGGTCTTTCAGTTCCTTCAGTCTTCTGATGGCAGACTTCCTGTGACGGCAGAAGTCATGTTGTAGGTCCAGGCCCCGCCAGCCACTGTTTTCATGAAGGAGCCACAGTGCCAGATGCCGACGGCTCGTCTCGTCATCTTGGTCTTGCCACAGAAGGAGCATGTGTACTTGGCGTGCTGGCTGATTTCAATTTTCTTCACCATTTTCCGGAAGGAGGCACCATAGCGGGTCCCATATTTCCCGATGATCCTGACCTTCTTGGTGCATTTAGCCATGTCACCGGAACCTAAGCCAAGCACGGAGAGTATATGGAAATTTTTAAAATAAAAATTTTAAATCTTAATATAGATATTATGTATACATAATATGGAGAGAGTTCTATAAATATGTGCTGTGAGACAATGGTCTTTTATCCTGTCACTTGTATTATTTTTAATAAAGTGCTGATTGGCCAGTAGCCAGGCAGGAAATATAGGCAGGGTGATGAAAACAGGAGAATTCTGGGAAGAGGAAAGGTCAGTCTGCAGTTGTCACCCAGACAGAGAGGAAGCAAGATGAGACTCACTCTCTGACAAATGTACCAAGCCATGTGGCTAACACAGACAAAAATAATGGGTTAATGTAAGATGTAAGAATTAATTAATAAGAAGCCTGAGCTACTAGGCCAACCAGTTTATGATTAACATAGACCTCTGTGTGTTTATTTGAGACTAAACAGCTGTGGGACTTGGTGGGACAGAAACCTCTGTCAACAAATATGTCTGTCTATAAATGGTTACAATGGAGTTACCCTATTAGAGGGCAACAATGTCCCTACTGAATACCACAGACTAACAAATAAGAAGCCCAATGCTGGGAATGGATTACTTCTTTTGGAGATGTTGGCCAGTGAGGTTCTATAGATCTTAAAAAAAACACATGCTATTGTGAGCACTCTTGGTTACCCTCCAGAATTTAATGGTAGGACCCTATTAAGACAGCCCATATTTGAAGCATAGAACATGGAGAAAGTACACTACTCCTGAAATGGAAGCGTCATCTCATTGGCTGACTTTCACAATGCTGGAAGGCACTGTGCATGCTCCCTGAGGAAAAAAGGAACCATCAGTCTTGGCCAGCTGTGACGACTGCAAACTACAGTGATGACTGGCCTGGTAAGATACGTCCTCTGGTGTAATAGCGGCCTGAATATCATTAAAGGATGCTGTGTCTAGCCTGGCTTTGTCCTGGAAATTTCACTGTGGTGAAGAGGGAATAAATAAAGGATAGAAACAGAGACACACATACAAAAGAGCTATAATCAAGTGGGCTGTTCTTTCCCTGATAGAGAAGAAGGCACCAACTATGCAACAACTCAGAACCTCGGTATATTTATCATGAACACAGAAAGGGGATTTAGATAGTCTTAGTGGGCAGTCTCTACAGGGGAGCAGTCTAAGCCTAGGAACATCTGGGATGGGGAAGCTGTGGTTGATGTTTTCTGTATACTTCGTTAACATTTGTACATGGACCAGAGGGAGGCTTTGCCAATTTACTTAACCCAATCAAAGGAAAGCTTTGTCACTCCTGTGAGTCTGAAGGATTAGGACCCAGGTCATGACTGTGCCCATGTCGCTCATACACCCAGGATATAACCACTCAAGGCTTCCCCCCCAATTCCCATAGTAATAACCAACCATGGTGGATTAAATGAGAATGTCCCCATAAGCTCAGATGTTTGATTACTTGGTGCCCGATTAGTTAGTGATGCAGTTTGGGTGGATTTAGAATGCATGGCCTTGTTGGAGGATATGCCAGTGGTGTAGGCTTTGAGATTTGAAAGCCTCATGGCATTCCCGGCATATCCTCTCTGCTTCTGCTTGTGGTTCAAGAAGTGAGCCCTCAGCTTCCTACTCCTGCAGCCGTGGCTTATCATGAGTTCATCTTTATGAACTGCAATCCTCTGAAACTGTAAACCCAAATAAACTCTTTTTTTATAAGTTGCCTTGATCAGGGTATTTTATCACAGCAATAGAAGGGTAATTAATGTACCAGGCATTTTCTGATGGGATTTAAGTCTTAGTCCCCAGGATAAAAGCCTTTATATGGAACCAAAATTGGGCTGGTCATAAGCCCTAAGAGAGCGCCTACTACTATTACTTTGCTAAGTGGTCATAGTATTAGACTTATTCCTAATGATTTATCATAATAGCATAATTTAATGCATCTCTCAATCCTCGTCAGAGAAACTTCTTTCTGCAATAGATGCTGATTGACACAGAGACCCACAATTGGCCAAAGCACAGTAAAAAAAGAGACTAAAGAATGCTCATTCCTAATTGGAGTCTACACCACATTCCCACCCTAAGTCTAAAGGATCATTGCAGAAGAGAGGACACAAAAGGTGTAAGATCTATGTGTAGTAGATGGTTGCAAGAAAACAGTATCTTCTGGACATAATAGGGCAACTGCACATATGAATTCACAACGGTTGTGACAGCATACACAAGACCTGTGCAAGCCCAATAAGACCAAACACTAGTCTGGAGAAGAGAGTTGAACATGAAATCCCACTTCTAGCAATTGAGTTATTGATGGTTGTTGTTTACTAAGAGAAGGAGAGTCGATTTCCTCTTAGAGTGTAGCGCCTGGTAAGTCAACAATGGTTCCATGAAAAGGTACATGTTCATGAATATTTAGGCAGCACAAATTGGTCTTGATAGGTTTAACAGCAAAAATGAACACAGAGTGAGATAGATGGATCATGTAAGAGTTGGGGGAGGGGTATTAACATGATCAAATGCATTCTATAATATCTCTTAAAAAAATTTGTTCAAGGGAAAATGTAATTATAAGTACGTGTTACGTGTCATACTACTAATAGTTATTATAAGTGTGAACTCATATTACCCAGATATATGAGTAGCCCACAGATAAAAATGAGCAGCAATGTTTGTTTCTGTAAGACAAGCCTAGGGCAGGAAGGAGGTATGAAAGAATTCAGGTCCTTTTATCATTAGTTCCTTTACAAAGTTTCATTAAACAAACCAAGTGCATCACCTTGAATTTTAAAGTCAAGCTAATTTTGGACATTCTCTGAAGGGAACAAATATTTTTCATGTGCATGCCCTTATGTTATTAGCCATATTTGCTAGTAAATGACTGAGTACTTCTTTTCTTGACCCTTCTGTTTCACGGATTATGCTTTGCTGGATCAGACTAAAGTTTCCCCTTTCTATTTATTTATTTCTGCAGCACTTTCTATTGACTTCTGGTCAGCTCATCCATGCTTTTTGTTGCTCTGCATATTCATAGATACTTTCCTCACTCCTTGCCGTGTCCCCTTCTCTCTGATAAGAAGGGATTAAATCTCACTCATTGTCAACTCTTCATTCTTTCCCATAAGCCTCTAGGAAGATTCTAAAGGATTGTTTCATTCTGAAATCTTATAGCATAAGCTAAAATCGAAACATCAGTTTCACAGCAAAGTTATACCATAGCTTCTTTCCAAAATTCTACTATTACTTTTTCCAAGCATTTGCTCACTTCCCGTGCCACAAATGCAAAGTCAGGCAGACTTCCTGACTGTTGGCCAGCTGTCAGACCAAAGGGCTCCACTCCTCTAGGGTAGGGGAAGATCCACTCACGTGTGGAAAATGCCCCAAACCTCTACTGTGCCATCAGTGGGAAGTTTAAGGTATTGTGAAGGAATTTGAACTGAAAAATACAAATGTAAAAAGAACAAATGGGCTTATGAAGCTGTGTTCACGCACACTATGACCAGGTAAAGTTTTGCTACTGCTATTACAGTTCAAGTCAGGTGAGAAATGTGTTTCTGAGGCTTCTGAGCTTTGTCCAGAAAGCTGTAGCCTTTGACAAATCAGCAACCAGTTCAAAAGACTCTGTGGAACACAGTCTCCAGGGTGTTTTGTGCCAATCTAACAGTTACTGAACAATCTTTAGAAAATGAATTTGGCTCCTTGGTACATGTACACCAAGACTGCAGTGTTGCTATCTTTCTGTTTTAAAAGTTGGTGGGAAGCATGGATCATTTCCCTCCAAAGTGCACTACACCTGGATGAAATGGTAAGTGGAGTGTTTGAAAAACCTACAAAGTTTGTATCAATTCCTGTACTACACTTCTCAGACTGCGACAGATTCTCCTCATCTTTGCATCCCTTTAAAACTCTTCCTTAAAACTCATCTTGTAGAAAGAATTAACCTTAAGATGACATATTATGTGGGCTGGGCTGGTCTAATTAAACCAGTACTAAATATATAACTTTTGGATGAGCAGACCAATTGTCTTACAACTCATTTGGTTGAGCTAGGAGGATCTGCATCTGGCTTGGTCCAACTTCAGCTCATTTGATTTTCCATCATTCAAGTACTGCATCTGTGCATTTGAAACCCCCACCAAATGTCACTATAGATTCTGCTTCCCACTGAACGTAGTATGCCTTGTAATAAGATCTAATGCTTTAACAGTCTCATGCAAAGCCCATGCACAAATAGCATCAATTCCTTCAAGTATTGCATAAATCTATTCTTTGGCACCTCTTTGAGCTCTTATTAAGACAAATGTGAAAGAGGGGTGATGAAAAGTCTATCAAATACAAAGAACAGGGAAGCATTCTGTTACATTTGACCCGGTCTACTCTGCATTTGCTTTCTCAGCCCTTGGCTAGACAGTGCTTCTCATAGTATCCTCCTTTACCAAAAAGGGAGTAGAGTCTCATACAAAAGAAGAAAGACACTAGAGGTTATTCACAAGGAAATTAAATGTGTGGTCTTCAAAAAAATTTTATTAAATATCACTTTTTCAATCTTAAATTTTTTAAGCAATCTAATTTAAAGTTGGCCTTCCAAATACACATGCAAGTGGGCTTTGATGTATGTGTGCATTGGAGAATACAATTTTGTATTTGTTCATAGTATGCTTGGTATTATTTCTATCCACTTCTTGCTCCACACAGATCTTGACAAAAGAGGAAAAGAGGAAGTTTAGACACTGAATTCCATTAGTTTTAAGAAGCAAGTCATTCACTCATAGGGCCTTGCTCCTCCAACTTTGGGAAATCAGAGATGTATTCCTTCAGAAAATATTAAAATAGAAACAATCTCTACTCATAAAGGAAAATTATTTTTCATTCTTTGTATTTAGGATTTAATGATTATGAATTTACTATTTTGATTTTTAACCTATCTCTGGCATGGTTCTATTTAAAACATTTAGTGTTGACAGAGGTTTTTGTCCTACCCAGTCCTGCAGCTATTCAGTCCTAAAGAAACACACAGAGGGCTGGA